CTTTTGTCAAGCACTTTGGCCCAGAGGGCATACATGTCCTTGTGGAGACTGTGGTACCAAGGGCTCTTCCCTTTCCAAACTAACTAAACTCAGTAAAACATGCCAAAGGGCTTGCTTCTCAGAAACACGAGGCAGAGTAAGTAAGTCAAGGCACAGACCTTGGAAGAACAGGGGAGTGAGAGGCTCCTGCTGCACGGGCTGCTAGGAATTCCCCTTCTTTCTCTCCCCCATTTCTTGACAATCCATTTCCAGGATGCGTTTCTTCAGCAAGGTTCTTAGGCCTCAATCCCAACTAGCTCCAGAATATAACCTCCCACAGAACCCCTCCCTATTCATCCTACCTCACATCAACCATAGTTTGCTATTTTATGTGTGTAAATCCTTTTCCTAATTATCCAGTAAGAGAACTGAAGGTATGGAGTGTCTCTAAACGTAAGGACACAAAGGCATTAGCATGGGGTTGATTATTACAAATTTAGCTTGCAGGCTAGGGATGTGGCTCAGTTAGTAGAGCGCTTGCCCAGTATGCGCGAGGCCCTGGGTAGCATCTTCACCATCCCATAAACCTGGCGTGGTACCCCACACCTGTAATCCTACCACTGGGAAGTGGAAGCATGAGGATCAGTTCAAAGTCTTGGCTGCATAAGAGCAGCCTAGGAAACATGAGGCCAGGTGGTAGTTTGTCTTTAATAGTCTGTGGCATTTGGAGATGTGGTCCCCAGTCGGTGGCACTGTTTGGGGAGGTGGAGGAGGTGCGGTCTTGCTGGAGGAAATATGTCACTAGGGACAGGCTTCGAGAGTAGAAAGACTTGAGCCTTTCTAGTGAGCCTACTCTGCTGCTTGCTTGTGGTTTAAGAAGTGAGCCTTCCACACCACTCATTATGCCTGCTGCTTGCTGACATGCTTCTCTGCCATGATGGGCCCTTATCCCTGTGGAACCACAAGCCATATAAACAGTTCATTCTGTAAGTTGACTTGGCCGTGATGTTTTAATCACAGCAACAGAGAAGTAACCAATACAGACCCTGTCTCAAAACCAAGCAATCCTCACCCTGAATTTGGGCCTATTTCTAAAAACAGCAAGAAGATTCCACCCAAGCTTCTTTCTGATTGTTTTCTTTTTGAAAATTATGTATCTATGAATGAGTATGTACACTTGAGTGCAGATGCTCACACAGGCTGGAAGAAGCCATCGGATCCCCTAGAACAGATGTTATAGGTAGTTGCGAGTGACCTGACCCGGTGCTGGGAACTGAACTTGGGTTTTTCACAAGAGCAGTATGTGTATTTAATCCCTGAGCCCTCCGCAGCCCTTCATTCCAGTGTTTTATTATATTAAACTCACTAAATACAAGCACATCCGTGGTAGCTCCGATCTGAGTTTCTAACTTCCAGAATGAGCCCCGCAGACATTTGTTAGCTGAGTTAACCAGCACAGTGCACAAGGCTGGCTAGCATCCCCCTTAGGAAGCCTCTACTCCGCATCACTCCCAAGATCACCACTGATACCTGGAACCTGACACTCACAAAAAGGGTCCTCTGTCTCTAGCCTGGTCTCAAACTTGGACTTTTAAAGGCCTCGGGGTCCCATGGCAGGAAGAGTGGTGACATCAAAGTCTGTCCAGGTCCTTCAGTTACAGGACATGAAACAACAAACTTAAAACCAGGAGACACCAGGCTGGGGGCTCAGTAGGTAAAGTGTTTATCCTAAGCCCACGAAGACTTGAGTATACGCATGAAAATGCACCTATAATCCCAGAACTGGGGAGGTAGAGATGGGGGAGGTGTAATTCCTTGGGGCCAGTCAGGCCAGCCTGATCAGTGTTCTCTAGGCCAGTGAGAGACTCTGCCTCAAAAGATAAAGCTGAAAGCAACTGAGGAAGACTTCTAACATTGACTTCTAACCTCCGTGCACATGTAGACGAGTAAGAGGCACAGTACAAGCAACTGTAGACATGGGTACATACTCACACCCACACCCACATACACACACACACCACACACCACACACACTCACACACATGCACACCACACACATGCACACCACACACATGCACACCACACACACTCACATACACACCACACACACTCACACGCACACCACACACACTCACACGCACACCACACACATGCACACCACACACACTCACATACACACCACACACACACTACACCACACACACACACCACACACACACACCACACACACACTCACACACACGCACACCACACACACACACTCACACGCACACCACACACACTCACACACACGCATACCATACACACTCACACCACACACCACACACACACTCACACCACACACACACTCACACACACGCACACCACACACATACCACACCCACACCCACACCCACACACACACTACTCGATCTTCCACATCACATCACACAGAACCACGGTGAAGGCAGACAGGAACCCTCCACAAGCAACTTCCACTGGGAGTGGGCACTTCGAGCAGAGCCTGGAGAGGCACAGCGCCCACTTATTAATAAGCGGCTCATCACAGCGGGAGGTCCCCTTGTCTAATTACAGAAACTGCTGGGAATGGCAAGAAAGACAGGATTTATAGCCGAGATGACACTGTCTCTGTGCTGTAATTAAAAGTTATTTTTAACACTTTGGTGCAATACTAGGATTACTAGAAATATTGTTTGTGAATTAAAACTTGCTAGAGGGTAAAAGGCCCAAGAGGAGAGAAATTCGCCCAGCCCGAATAATGGGGAAAATCAACTGATTTGGCATCGAAAGACAGGAAAAGGGAGAGAAAAGTCTCTCCTACTTGTAGGCCTCTGAGTTATCACAAGAGAGGAGGAAAGAAGGCAGCTAGGATAGGTGTGAACCTAGGCTGCTTTTATTTATTTGTTTGTTGATTACAGTGTCCCAGTGTGGCCCGGAGTTGACCTTGTAGCTGCAGGTGACCTTGAATTTCTGATCATACTGCTTTCACTTCCTAAACACAAGGACTGAGAGTTCAGTCCTCACTGCCACTCCCCGGCTCAGGCACTCTGCCAACAGAGCCACATCCCATCCCTTAAAACGTATCTATAAAACTTCAAAAGCAGCGTGGCTACTTAACTCCACCTTCTAAGTAGTGTGTGTGTGTGTGTGTGTGTGAGTGTGTGCGTGTGTGAGTATGTGTGTGTATGTGTGTGAATGTGTGTGTGAGAATGTGAGTGTGTGTATGTGTGTGAATGTGTGTGAGAATGTGAGTGTGTGTGTGAGTGTATGTGTGTGTGAGGGGCGGGGATTTTGCCTGCATGTATGTCTATGTACCACGTGTGTGCCTGATGCCTGAAAAGGCCATAAGAGGGCATCAGATCCCCTAGAACTGTAGTTACAGACAGTTGTGAGCCATCATTTGGGTTTTGGGAATCAAACCCAGGTCTTCTGGAAGCGCAGCAAGTGCTCTCAACAGCTGGGCCGTTTTTCCAGCCCCTTAACTTTATCTTCTAACCACTGCTAGGGAATGCCACATACCTGAAGCTTGCTTGCAACCACCTGTCCAAAGTGCCTCACCTCCAGCCCTGTACCACATACCACGCTCATCTTATCAAGAAGGATTGAGGCTCTCTCTCTCTCTCTCTCTCTCTCTCTCTCTCACACACACACACACACACACACACACACACACACACACACACACACAGGTGGACTCCAAGGTGTTGTATTGCAACAGTGGGCTCAAGGCAGACTGCAGACAATGGCCTCGAGCAAGCGCAAGGCTAGGTTTTGCTTTTAACCATTTCCCTTGTAGTTTTACGAAGGGGCGAGGCAAGGAGCATCCCTGGGCAAATCACATGCAGGTGTTTGTGAGTGCTCACAGCACCTGGCTGGCCGGGACAGGCTCTTCCACCTAGCACTCCACACACACAGAGGCAATGTTAAAGTGGCAGCCCTGCTTTAGCAAGAAGGGAGACAGAAGCTACCACAGGCAGTCACCTTACACTTCCAGGATCTGGAGGCTTCTATCTATCACACTGGCTTCCTTCCTAGTGTTTACTTTTATTTCTTAAAGAGGGTCTCACATAGCCCAGGTTGGCTTCAAACTCTCTATGCCACAGAGGATGACCTTGAAATCCTGATCCTCCTGCCTCCACCTTTGGTACTCAGATGACAGGTATGCACCACCACGCCTGGTTTATGAGGCACAGGGGACTGATCCCAGGGCCTTGTTTATGATACGCAGGCACCCTACCAACTGAGCCACACTCTAGGCGCTAATTCCATATTCTCCCTCTGTTAATAACCTTGGGAACACAGTCATGACAATTATCCTCCTCTTACGGGCAGGGAGTTATGTTCAACTTGCTTGCCAGAATAGCATCTGTATAGTGAGAAATTATTTTGCATTTCCCCTTCCATTTTTCCCCCTTTTCATATGAACGTAATCATTCATTTATATCTGCCTGCAGCCACCGACAGTTTATTTCACACACTGTGTTACAAAGCAGTACTATCTTGCCTTCTGTTAAAATTCCTCAGCTTTGGTCAGTAAGTGTTTTAGTTTCCTGGGAGGTTCTCCGATAGGCCGGGGCAGCCTCAAACTCCCTGTACAAACGAGGTTGACCTTGAACTCCTTAATGAACACCCACACTCAAGTGCGGGATTACAGGAGTGCACTGGCACTTCCTAACAGCTGGCAGACTTTTGCAGCTGACAGGGGCTGGGCAGGAAGATAACTCATCTGCTAGGAACATCTCTGATAATCTCTACATTCCACTTACTCTATGTTCTGAATCTTGTCAGCAGAACTCAATTCTAGGGGCTCTTTATCTGCATACATGTCAGAGAAACCGCCAGATACTCTGAGGGGAACCACGAACACAGTCCAATATCCGTTATCCAAAAATAAAGCGTAAGCTCGCCTTCATAACAGTCACAGCAAGCTTATGTATGAAGTTTATATTGCACCAGTAGAGCCATGGCGCTGTGGTCCTAGGTTTCAGTCCCATGGCTGGGCTGAGAACTGCCATCCTTACCTGCCACATTAATTTTTTCAAGCGATACCAAGCTGGGGACAGCTGTGGTGGAGTTGGTAGAATTTGCTCCTGTGCCATTGACGAGATTGTCCACCTTCGACTCCAGCTTGCCAATGCGCTGCAAGATGTTATCCAGTAACACAGCAAGGGTTTTCTTCAGGTCTGTAGGTGGGGAAGAGGAAGAAAACTGAAACCCTCTGCAGGTGCAGCCATGCATATCCAACTTGTGGCCCCAGAGCATCCAGGGTATAGACGAACATAGACCAACACTAACTTAAAACTTAGGACACTGGGAGATATTTTTGCAGGGTTTTTTTTTTTTTTTTTTTTTTGGTAACTTTATTGTACGGTGCTTGAGTATGAACTCTGTAGGTGACAGAGTTTTGAATTACACTGTAAAAAAAAGCTGGACAGAGGTTGGGGTATTAGCATTAGGCGTAAGTATGAGTGCTCAGAAACCTAGCACTGACATAAAGTCATGTGTGACCATGCATGCCTGTGACACCAAGCACGCTGGAGTGGAAGGCATATGGAAGGCAGAGAGAAGAATCCTAGGCCTTGCTGGCTGCCAGTATGGCTCTGGGTTCAGTAAGAAATCTTGTCCCAAGAGAATAAGATGGAGAAGGGGAGAGAACAGGACACCCAGCATCCTCCTGGGGCCTCACATACATGCGCCTCACACCCACACCAAACACAGTAACAAACTCTGGATATGTTCTCCCTGCCTCTCTAATACAGAAAATAAAACTGAAAGTTGGGCCAGCAGTGTACAAGATGGGGTACATACAAGAACCTGGGTGCCCTGCTCCAGAATCACAAACAACAAAAGTGTTTCTGGAGTGGCTCAAATGATGCCCCCTAACAGGGACATCTCAGCGACAGCAGGAACTGTCTCCAGCCAGGCCAGAGCCCAGCAAACAAAGCAGTCTGAGCAAAAAGCAACTCTGATAAGGACTGGGGGGCTGGAGGATTCTTCCTGGGCACGAGGTCCAGACAGAGCGATGCTTGCCATGGCCCATCCTACCTCAGCACTGCAGGCAAACCTCCGCGTGGCGCTGTGGCTATAGGACACACAGAAATTATATGAAGGTGCAGCCAGCCGCAAACAGCTTCAGAATGAAGTTCACTATTATTCCTAGTAGCTAGCATATTCTATCCCAACCTTTATTTTTATCCTTGATATGAAGTCTAAGGAATTCCAGGCTGGCCTTGAACTTACTGTACAGTCAATAATGAATGACCTTTGAACTCCTGATCCTCCTGCTTCTACTGCACACACACACACACACACACACACACACACACACACACACACACACACGAGAGTAAGATAGAGCTACTAAAAACCTCAGCATCTCCAGGCTTTTTACTGAGGTGGGCATGCTTTCTCTCCAGCTGAGAAAGAACGATTTTAATTTCCAACGAAAGCAATACTAAGTCACTATTTTAAAACAGTAGAAGATTTAAAATGATCTTTTTTTGTTTTTGTTTTGTTTCAGGAGAGGGTCTCTCTGTAGCTTTGGAACCTGTTCCTGGAACTCACTCTATAGACCAGACTGGCCTGGAATTCATAGACCCCCCCCCTGCCTTTGCCTCCCCAGTGCTGGGATTAAAGGTGTGCACCACCAATGCCCCACTGATTGAAAATGAATTTTAAAAGTGCTTTGCATGCCGGTGTGGGATTACACAGCATACGTATGGAGGCCAGAGAATAACCTCAGATTTTCTTTTCTATTCTCTCATATATTAATTACATCCCCAACATGCCCTTCCTCCTCTCCTCCCGTAGCCTTCAGAAAAGGACAGGCCTCCAGGGGTAGCAAACAAACATGGTGTATCAAGCTGCAATAAGACTAGGCAGGTAGAGGCAACCCAGTAGGAGGAAAAGGGTCCCCAAAGGCAGGCAAAAGAGTCAGATAGGCCCCGTTCTTACAGTTAAAAGTCGCACAAGAGGACCAAGCTACACAACTGTAACACATACGCAGAGTGCTTAGGTCAGTCCCGTGCAGGCTCCCTGGCTGTCGGCTCAGTCTCTGTGAGCCCCTGTGAGCCCAGGTTAGTTGATTCTGTGAGTTTCCCTGTGGTATCCTTGACACATCTGGCTCCTACAATCTTTCTCCCGCTTCTTCCAAAGGGTTCCCCAAGCCCCACCTAAGGTTTGGCTGAGTCTCTGCGTCTGTTTCCCTCAGTTGGTGGGATGAACAACCCCAGATATTTATTGCTAAGAAGCCTTCCCACTTTTTATGTTTTGTTTTTGAAACAGTCTCTCGTTGGCCTGGAACTTTGTCACACATGCTAGGCTGGCTGTCCAGTGGGCTTTGAGGGATCCACCTGGCTCTCCCCGCCCCATCTCACCACCATGGCTTTATAGGTACATGCTGCCAAATCTGGCTTTCTTTTTAAACTATGAGCTTGGGGATTTGAACTCAGGTCCTCACACACTCAAGGAGAAAGCTTTATCCACTGAGCCATCTCCTCAGTCCCATTTAAAGACACGATTCATGAGAACACAAGGGCAAAGAAGATGGGGCTGGAGAGACCACCCAGTGGTGAGGACTACACACCGTTCTTCCAGAGGGAGCCTCATCAGGTTCCCAGCACCCACACTGGGCAGCTCGAAAAAGAGATCAGACACCCACCCCTCTTCTGGACCCCACAGGCACCCATACTCATGTGGTACACATTCACAAAGACACATACACTTGTAAAGAAATAATAAACAAACAAACAAAACGGTAGCTAAACGGTGGGAAAGAGAGAGGGAGAGACAGAGACAGATGGGGTAGGGACAGGGAGACGCAAAGAGGATGCAAAAGCTCAAATACTTACTTATCCTTACAAATACACACAATGCCCAACACACTACATCTCTCAATAAACAAGCAAATGAATAAAATGGACAAACTATCGCCTATTCACAAAGAACAAATAATCGTCCTCATAAATTAGAGCTTTTCAGGTGATAAAATTATTTCTCACCTTTTTTTTAAAAAAAAAAATGCAAAGACTGTTAACAGCTTCCTTGCAACTTTAAACAGATAGCAGAATATTTGTTTATTTTTTAGTCTTAACGGCGATGCATTTATTTAAGGACACTAAATAATGAAGAGGCGTTTTGACAGAGTTTAATAAGAAAACAAGGATAAAAATATTCCTTCCAAATTCTAGTATAATATTTTCATATTCATCATAGTGTTTTACAGCTACGGTAGCAGTAAAATGTGTCCTCAGTGGGATTAAAATTTCTAATTACCAATGAACTCTTACTTTTTTCTTTGTACTTCAAAAGCCTTGGCAATAAAAATGTAAGCCCGACATAACTACCAAGTTTTTCCGTGTTCCTAAAATTCACTGTTCACAATAGGGCGAGAACAAGTAGTTGAAAACATTGAGGACACCTCTCTGGGGAAGGGAGCTCTTGGTAAGTGCTGGGATCAATTAGACTGAGGCAGAACAGGTGCCCTCACAGCATCTGGAAGTTTCCATTTACGGGAAACCATGACAGGACACGATAGAAAAAAAAAAAAAAAAGATACAACCAAGAACAGAATGGAAAAGGAGCTAGCAATGCTATTCCTCTGCGAGGGTTAAGGTTGGCTAACAGGATCCAGAGTGCTGAGGAGAGAGGGCATCTGTGTACCTCTGTGAGGGAGTTCACACATTACCTCATCTGAGGTGAGGAAACGCAGCACCCTGGACATAGCGGCCAAGAAGGGCTCGAGGAAGCAACAGGTCTGGGGTGTATGACCTACATCCTCAAGAGAGGATGGCAACCCGTGGTTTCTTTCATCAAACCAGTCAGCACTTGAGGAATTGCCAAGAAAGGCTGTACCCAGGAGCCACCCTTCCCCTGCATTCCCCATCTACCCCGGGGCCACCATTCCTTCCTGCAGTCCACTTACTGCTTCGGGACAGGAAGCAGAGACCAGAGCACCCGGAAGAAGTTCAAGCAAATGGCCCGGCGAACAAGGCTCCCTGCCTCAAACAAGGCAAAATGTAAGGAGTACCACCCGGCGCTGTCCTCTGACCTCCACATGTATGCCGCGGTATGCGCACAGGCACCCACTTACACAAGTTCTAAGACATGCGTGAAAACACAGAGAGTGTGCCTGCGTGCGTGCGTGCGTGCGTGCGTGCATGCGTGTGTGCGTGCATGCGTGCGTGTGCGTGTACTCGGCAGACTCCTCTATGGCGCTGGATACCAAGCCCCATTGTCAAAGAAAGTAAAGTCAGCCAAGGGTTCTGGGCAAGGCCCAGGCTTGCAAGCCACCTGTGCTGGACACTGACTATTCATCAGGGGCACAGAAGTGACCATGCAGTGAGCAAGTGCCAAAAATAACGCCCTTCTCTGTTTGGGTTCCTTTCTGCCACGGCTGCCATGAGAGACAGACAGAGTTCGGACAAGAGAGCTGCAGAGCAGCCTCCATTACAGCTCCAGAAAACAGGCAGGGACAGGGCGCTAATGAGAAAGGAAGGTGTTAATGAAGAGAGAATTAACCTCGACCTCCTGGAGCCATTAGCTGCCAGGAATGCCAAGCTCCAGCCATCACAGGCTTTAAAATTAATTTTAAAATGACCTTCCCATGGGAAGACCATATGGTCATTGTTATGTAGAAGGGCCTTTTCTACAGCACTGCTTACATATTGATATACATGCATACATACATATGTATTTATGTATAAAAAGAACAGTTGTTATTTATTCCAGACAAGAGCTGGAAAAGACTCACACACTGCAAGGGAATGCTCAGGTTACACGGCCCCGTCTGGGAGCTAGACTGAATCACTAGGCAGATATGGATGTTGTCTTGGCATCTGTGTTCACTGCCAGTGGCAAACTCACATGAGTTAATAATTATGTAGCTGTCAAATGGCTTAACAGCATGAAGAAACACCACAGAGACGGGTTTCCAGTTGTATATAAAAACCGCTCCGATTCCTGAAAGTGAGCATGTTCATGTATACACTTGCCTCTACATCTGAATGCATCTATCAGCACTTGTGAAAGACTGGAGGGCTTGCCTGTATGTCCCCAGCCCCACAGAACCTCGGCATGGTAGCGCATGCCTGTAATCCCAGCATTCAGGAGGCAGAGGCAAGAAGATCAGAAGCATAAGGTCATCCTTGGCTATAGAGTTCGAGGCCAGCTTGAGAAACACGAG